ATTATTTTATTTTTTTTTTTATTTTTTTTTTTTAAGGTATACACGACCTGCTGAGTTTAGGTTACTCAGGGTTTTCTATTGCTGTTATCCGGCAGATTCCACTTTCGATAGGGATATGCCGTTTATTTGTTACTACGGTAGGGATGACTTTTTGGGGAATTTTTGTGTGTGTGTGTGTGTGTGTGTGTGTGAAACTGCTTGTGTTAGCCACTGTTGTTACATCATTATATTAAATGCAGGATAATATTACTTCTAAGCCAGGCATGAGTCCTATTACTCTTGTCTCCTGGAACTGAAGCCTCTTATCCATAGGGCCTTTTGGGGCTCCTATGTAACCAGTTCAGGCCGATTGCATAGTTTCTCCTCCTATGTAACCAGTTCAGGCCGATTGCATAGTTTCTTCACAGTGCCTTCAGCGGTGGAACCAGCACGATTTTTGGGACCTACTTCTCTGGGGTCCCAGGTCTGGTTCTTGTTGGGTCCAGATGTGACATCAGCCAGTCAGTCAGTCAGGGGGAGGAGTCACTGGATCTTTCAGAAACTTTTTAAAACATTAATCCGCCATTTGCCATTTCTTGGACTGGAGTAGCGGCTGGACCTATTTTAAAGATTTTAAAAACAACAATGACAACACCGTGGCCTAATGCTGAAGTGCTGGCGTTTTTTTTTTTGTGCTTGCTGGCCGACGACAAAATTCAGAGCGAGCTAGATGGAGCTCCGCCAGTCTACCCGGGTCCTCTCCACCGGAGCGTCAGAGCCGGACAGGGCATCATCTCCTCAAGCTAAAAGTTATCTGTGGAAGTAAGTAAAAAGTGATATTTACTGTTACGTTTTTTTTAGTTGAAAACTGTGCATTAATGGTGAAAGGTTGTTTTCTTTGAGAGCTAAGCAGTAGAGAAGCTAGCTGGCCGTAGTTAACATGTAACTTTGTGTAGCTTCTCATCACAATATACTACCAGTAGATATTGCCGGGATATGAATTTTATGTCACATCAAACATCCCATTCAAATGTTAGATACAGTAGGAATGTGGACAGATCGACTGGCCGGCAAAAGAAACAAAAAAAACCCCAACAACTACGGCCGTGTTCTGTTCAGCCAGCATACATTGTCAGATCACCATACACGTAGCACTGATTGCCATACGCGTAGCGCAAACTGACGGCTGCATTCATCCGCTGTGAGAGCACCATACACTTCTATTTAATTATCCATATCACACCATCACATATCAGTTAACCTGTCAGATCATCATACTTTGTTATTAACTGCTGTATGATACCCTGACATCTCAGTCCCCCTGAATAACAGCTGTATGACACCCTAAGTTAGCAGTTAACCTGTCAGATCATCATATACTTTGTTTTTAACAGCTGTATTACACCCCAACGCCTCAGTTTGCCCTAACTTAGCAGTTTAACAGCTGTATGACACCCTGACTTAACAGTTAAGGCAGCAGATTGATTATATTGTCCTTATACTGTTTAAATTCACAAAGCTTGGACTAACTTCATTTGCACTGTTCGCTCATAAACAAGCGGAGTTTTCGCTCCACCTGAAGTCGCGCACATATTACGCTAGTGAAGATTCTCAGTCATCTAGGACATGATGAATTCAAAAAGCGTTCAATACAAAAACAATTGGACTTTATTTGTAACAGAAGACGTTTCACTCCTCATCCAAGGAGCTTTCTCAATTCAATGAGCAGTGAGTGAGAGATTCAGGTTATAAGGCTAAGTCATCTCACTCAAACATAGTCAATACTACCTAAACAGACCTGTATTAACATGTAATGTGTATCATTTCAGGTTAATCAGTCAGTTCCTGTCTGAAGATCCTCTAAAGTCATGGGTGTCCATGGAGAAGGATGGGACAGTAATGTGTGGCCACTGCAAATTAAAGCAAGTATGACATGACACAAACATTCAAAACTAGAAAATTACAGATAAAAACAAAGGATAATGATGTTTAGAGGAGATTATAGCAGTTAATTTTTTGTTGTTTGTCAGATGGGGATGAGAAAACAGCCAGCCAGACATGAAGCCATCGCTGGACCGCAGCATCAGGATCTGAGAGTTTGTGCCTCCAGACTACACATCAACTGCAGCTGGCCATACCTTGGAGCTTCTCTGGATGCTCTGCTCTCCTGCACCTGCTGTGGCAATGGTGTTTGGAAAATAAAATGCCCACATTGTGCCAAAGATGCTGGAGTCCTCTGTGCCTCAGTTAAGAAACATTTCTGCATTGACAACACAAACAGGTCCTATGAACTAAGCAGAGGTCACACAGGTACACCAGGTACAAGCTCAGTTCTTTGTGACAGAGAGGGAGTACTGTGACTTCACGGTGTGGTCTGGGTCAGATTACTTTATTCAGAGGATTGTGTCTGATGTGATTTCTTTACTGAAGCAGTGAAAAATGTAGAAATGTTCTATAGGTCAGCATTTTTACCTGAGCTATTGGCCAAATTTTATTTTTAATTATTGTTACATGTTTTAGAGCAGCCAAACTAACACAGAATTAAAGCACATGGTTAAGATTCCACTGATGATATTTTAAGGTCCAAGCTGGATAAACGTAGCATGCAGTATGTTTCAAAGTTTTTTCCGGCTCCAAGCGGTCTCTATGCACGCTCATTCACTCACCGCTACCTGCATAATCCTCCCGCACTTTTTCCTCCACTTTCTGTTAGTCCGGATGTAGTATTTGTTAACTCGTAAAACAAAAGATGAAATTCTTTTCTACATTCACAAATTATTACTAAACTGTTAGTTAGAATATGTATTTTAACAACAAGAAGTCTGAAATAATATATTTACACAACATATTGCAAAATAAAATACATTCAATGCCTCAGTGCATTACAATAAAATTAAATGTATGTTTCGATAAATGTCAACAAAAACATCCTGATTGTAAATATAATCAGGTTATTACATAAGGGTCTAGTGACAAATAAAATATGTTTCATTTGATAATAAACCAGTGACAATGAATTAAAAGATGATGAGAATTTTTTCTTAAAATGAAACAATTTTGTTTGTAAAGATTCTCATGAAGTCATCAATCTTTAGGGTACAACAGAGATAATGAAGCTATAATACTACCAAGAAAATAATCAAGTGAGCCAAGTAAAATTTAAGTTCTTACTGTCGATTGCATTTCTGAGAAAAAAAGTAATAAAAATATTACTTTAATGAGATATTTATAAAAACTATCTAGTCATCTATTATTGTCAACACACACGTGCCATATGTTGGACTTACCACTTTCCCTTCTTTGCGAGCAACTATAACTGTGCGATTAGTCTCCTGAAGCCAGCTAGTGTATCTGGTGGGAAGGTAGTCCAGACCTCCATAGATGTCCTGACTCATTGCCATAATTTCATCAAAGTCCTCCTCAGTAGCAACATCAAACTGAAGACCAGCTTGGGACAGGGCCTCTGAAGGCTGGGAAATAGTCAGGCTGGTATCAATCTTCATCTTGAAACAACTGAGAAGACACAAAATGTTCAGAATAGGTCATCATTAATTGTTATAAAAAGTAGGGATGCACCGATCCACTTTTTTTACTTCCGATCCGATCCCGATACCTAAAACTAAATATCGGCCGATACGGATCCAGTTCCGATATCATCATCATCATTGATTTTATATGAGGCTGTAATAATCTCCTCTCAAGTACAATTTGTACAAATATATGCATGCATGTCCAAAAAGACAACTTGAGGTAAGTTTTATTATGTTGGATAAGTTTTAAAGTTAGAATTAAATTATTTTAACACAAAACATGTTTCTTTTTATTCCTAGCTTTAAAGTGGATATTAAAGTGATTAATTTAAGTGATTGTTTAAAGTTATTTTATATATTTTTTTAAATAAGGGGCAGATATAAGAATTATTTTTCTTCTTTCTGCACTCTTTTCATTCAATGTTTTCTTTTTGATGATTTTTTAAAAATTTTGTTTCTTTTAAATGAATGAATAAATTAATAAAAATAAAATAAAATGTTAAATGGCTTCTAACACCTGGCATAAACCAACAGGCATGTTCCTGTTTTTAGTATTTTACATCACTTTATAATGTAGCTGTTTTTGTTTTAATATAATTTTCAAATCATATGTTTTTTTTTTTTTTTTGTCTACTGTTGTACTGATAAATATCTCCTGGAGGGTAAACTATATCTTGGCTGCAAGTATCAAGCTGTGAAATCCTTCGTTTTCTACATCTGATAGTGGTTGGTCATGAATTATGATGAAGTTTAGCAACTTCTCTGTAAACATTTGAGCTCCATGGTTTCAGCGATGTCTTCTTCTTGTTCAGTCCGAAGCAGGCAGCCTGAATTGGGGCAGCCGCGCTCAGTCTGTCCCTCCTCGGAGACGGGCAGACTGAGCGGGGCAGATTGGACGCGGCTGGCCGGGGTCGAGTAGCCTGTTGTGGGTTGAGCAACGAGCAGCGCCCTGCTGAAGCCCCGGAGCTTGAATGTCCATCGTAAAACTAACTTCACCACGGTTTAATGTGGCGCTATGGCTCTGCAGACATTGCACGTTGCTGTCTAGTTTTGTGGTGTTTCTAGTGTAAATACTTCCACACAGCGGACGTTTCGATGAAAAGTTTGTTAGCTGTTAGCCACAGTGCTGCTAACTCAGTCCTCACGTTGTAGTTGGCTGCAATCTATGAACTGGATTTCCTGAATGTGAGGCGGGTCTTATTACTCTGGGTTCATGAGACACGCTGCCGTTCAGGAAATCCATTCCATAGTTTGAAGCCAACATGCATCATGGATCGGAAATATTGGCAGGTGGATCAGAAAAATCCGATACGTAAATTATGCTGGTATCGGAGGTCGATACTGATACTGGATCGGACCCATCCCTAATATAAAGGGTCACAGACAAAGGCAGCCAAAGGCATTGACCAGACAATATCCAACAAGTACTACCAAATTATAATAAAAGCATTTCTTCAACCAAATTTAATCAGGAAAATGACCATAAAAAACAGGTGTCAGTACAGAATCAAATCCTTTGTCATTATTACTGCAGCTTCTGTCTTAGACCAAATGGAAGTCTTTTTATGGAGACCTAAGCTTACATAAAAACATACAAATTTGCCCACATATTACAATTAACAACCTTTGAGAATTCTAAAGTTTCAGTAATAAAGTTGAAAAAATTATTTGGAGTGCCATCTCAACAGCCAATTTGAACAGTGTTGAACAGCTGAATAGTTGAACAGTCTCAGGGTTCAGCACCCCTCCAGCCCTCGTCAAAACGGTAATTGGACCCCCTTGGACTCCTGAGTATTACCCAAACAATACTACAGTCAGGTCCTCGCTGGGTTCGAGAGAGATTTGACCAGGCACTAACAACCTTCATATAGCTAAAAATTTTCAGTCAGGTCATCTGGACAGTTTCTTTTTTTGCTGAAACGTTTCACCTTCCATTCGGAAGGCTTCATCAGTCAAGGAAACACACAACAAAACTGATTCTTCCCCCAAACAGCTTACTCCAAATTGGAACAAACCAGTTATGTTGGTGCTAAGATGGGGTCTCCAAACTGGAACAAACCAGTTATGTAGGTGCTAAGATGGGGTCTTTGGAACACCCCCTCCTCTTGTGCCGGCCCTCTTCCTTGTTGACAGTCATGTTAAACTGGTTCAAAACCAAAAAAAGTCCATGTTCAATAATCCAGGTATACAATCCAACAATTTTCAGTCAGGCCATCTGGACAGTTTCTTTTTTTGCTGAAACATTTCACCTTCCATCCGGAAGGATGTTGGGGCTAAGATGGTGTCTTTGGCACACCCCCTCCTCTTGTGCCCCAACATTTTTAAGTCAGGTCATCTGGATAGTTTCTTTTTTTGCTGAAATGTTTCACCTTCCATCCAGAAGGCTTTATCAGTCAAGGAACTGATGTTCCACTTTGGAGTAAGCTGTTTGGGGGAAAAAATCAGTTTTGTGTTGTGTGTTTCTTTGACTGATGAAGCCTTCCAGATAGAAGGTGAAATGTTTCAACAAAAAAAGAAACTGTCCAGATGACCTGACTGAAAACCTTCATCTAGGGCGGCTGTGGCTGAGTGGTTAGAGCAGTTGTCCTCCAATGCAAAAGTTAGAGGTTCGAATCCACCAGCAGTCACATGCAGAAGTGTCTCTGGGCAAGACACTGAACCCCTCATTGCCTCCATTGTGTGTCCCATCGGCGTATGAATGCGATAAAGCTTTGATTAGTCTCTTTAGAATGATTTGTTCAATTAGCTTTGTAGAGATCTAGTAGAGTGCTGTATGAATGAGTAAATGAGGGCAAAGATTGTAGTGTAAAGTGCCTTGAATATCTTGATAACATAGAAAGGCGCTATATAAGTACAGTCCATTTACCATTTATCTGCAAGACACACCTCGATTTAATCTCACAGCTCCTAGGGTCAAGTAGCCGTGACCCCTAAGTTCACCAAGAAACCCCACATTAACGGCTGCTCTCTCTGCGATGTATGCAACTGGTATTTCACCTGGTACAGTTATAGCAATCTGGACAACTGACTGCTGAGATGTTAAAAATCCAAAACTAACTAACCGTTCAAAACATCCCAAGAATTTCAGAACCAAGTGTAGTGATGTCAGGACAGCTTTGCTGCGGACATACTACTAATTAATTATTCTTAAAGCTAGTTCAAGCACAAATAATATTAATTGTTTAATTAACAATGGATTCTTTCTTTTTCGAGTTAAATGTCTTCCATGTGACCAAGATAACTTGAGAGTGGAGTTTTGAGTGACATGAGACGTAATTTATCTTTGACCCATCAGAATAAATGTGGTCATTTATTTAACAGAATCAAAATTTAACATCAAACATGTACACATTGATTGGCTGATCTGTTTCTGATTAATAAACTTAGCAAGATTTACTAAACAAGACAACAGAAGATTACTGATGGAGAATGATTCATCTCTGAAGGCATCTAGTTTGATTTACTGGCGAATAGAAGTTTAAAGAGAAGGAGTAAAGAAGTTTAAAGATTTAAAGAGGAGGTTTAGATGGATGAAGGAAGATGTGTTGACCAGAAATGGCACCCTGCCTCCGACCCCAGCTCAGCCCTCTGGTACACTCGGTGCGTGACGACTCGTTACCTGAACAGAGGATATACATGTATCATCTCCGGAACAGAGGTCCATTGGCACGCTACCTTTTTAGATTCTCCGGTCAGGGTGGCTGAGAATCTTCTGAAGTAGTTCCATATACTCCGTTCAACAGAATAAGCTTCCTTCGAAGTTGAGAGCATTTAATGCTCGGGGTGAGTTCAGCGAGGCATGCTGTGACTCCGCTGGAATGGATGGACCCTTGGCACATGGTCCAATCCATCAGCTACTTAGTTCAGCTGGAAGACTCCAGTAAGACTTGTAATGGTCACTGACCGTTTAATACAGCGTTAGATGTATTTCCATTTTTTTCCCTTATTTTAAGATATTGTCTACGCTGCAACTATGACCATTTATTATTAATAATTGTCCCCTGTAAGGTAATGATTGTGTTCTGAATGAAAGTTTGAACTTGTTTATTTGTTTGTGTAAATTTGTCTGTGTAAAAATACGTTTTTGGGGTGACAGTGGGGAAGAGAGCTTAAAAGGAGGAGGAAGTGACGGCGTTTCACCCCTCTTGCCTTGGAGTGCGCACCTGCCGAGGAGGATTTGGCGTGAGGCCGTTGCCCTGGACTGCCTGTGGACTGTTTATCACCCCGAGTTGGGATTGCGGGGGATCAGTAACTTTTTCTTACCCAGGACTGCAGGGGAGGCACGCTAAATGGACCTTGAGATTCTGGTGAGATCGCTTCTTTTTATTTCGGCGCGCCGACGCCTGGATGGATTGAGTGGGCGTTTCCCTCATCCCACTTGAAACAAACTTTCCTTCTAAGAGAACATTTGGACTGAAAGTTGGTGCAGCTTGGTTTTTGATTTATGGGGTTTTGTCTGCAGATATGTAAATGTTGGGGGGGAATGAAGCGTTCAGGTTGTTTATGTGCACAACTGATGTGTTTGTTTAAATTGTGTAAAGGGCATTAAATGTTAGCCTGCATGGCCAATATCATTAGTTGTTTATGAGAGCTTTTTTTTTTTGCATGTGGGTTGAATTATTTTCTGTTTACTAGGTTATGCTTTCTTCTCAACCATTATAAGTTTTAAGCACCGTCAGCTTCAGACACTGCCCGTGACGTATTTAGCGTTATGTAATTAATCCCCCTATCATCGCAACGGTGGGGGCAGGTTGTTACAGACTGAGTCTTCCGGTAAGGCTGAAAGTTCTAAGAAGACTGGGAAGACTGAATAGTTCCAAGAAGTGTTGACTTTTAAAGGGTATCCACTTCCTGTCACTTGGTACTTCCTGATTGGTTGACACAACCAGCAGGGGTGTAGTTTTAGTGATGTCAGAGGGTTATTAGGAGTCAGCAGACAGCAGAAATATTTTTAAGAACGGTTAGTACAGACAGGA